CCTATTCACCCCCCATTCCTTTATTCTTAGCCCTCACCTCCTTATCCTCACTCACTCCTCACACTCAACTTCTTACCCTTATTTCCAACTACCCTCACTCTCAACCCACTCCCACCCTCATTTCCACCCACTCGAGTCACTTTACACTATAACATACTAAAAGTTTCACTAAAAGTTAGAGTTCTCGTTTAATAACTTTTTTAAAATTTAGGCTAAAGTCTAAAACTTAGTCTCCCCCTCACTTGTATATACTCACCCTCCGCCCTCTCCTTTTCCTTCTTTCTTTCTCTCCTTTAAACACCATAACTAGGTAAAAATGTAAGTCTCACCCTCTCTCTCACCCTCTCACTCCATCATCAAATTATTTACCAGAACCTATTAGAGTTTATCAGCTTTTGAGTTTGAGGTAAGCTCTGGAGTGGGGCCTAGGATTTAAAGTGAAAACAAAATTTGAGGTGAATATTAGAATAGCGCCCAGGATTTGAGGTGAGGTGAGTACTGGAGTGGCGCCCAGGGATTTTGGTTAGCATGCCCGATTTTTAATTTAATCTTAAACTCGTGATTAACGCCCTGTTCAAGCGCGAACCTTCTAGTTTAGTAGGAGATTGATATTGATTGATTGATCCGTTGATTTATGCTATTCAAGTCCAGGGGGGTGTCACCCTGGGATAGTTGGCCTCTAGAAGTCTAAATAATTTAATATCATCGTACTTATCTGCCCGGCTTTTGAGGGCGGAGCCGGTCGCACAAGTCAATCGGTCGGTCAGAAAGTTAAGGCTCTGCGGCAATGGCTGCTAAGCGAAGAGCCTCAACAACCTCGAATATCCTCACTTTGACCCAGATTCAAAGCCCTGAATCAACGCCAGAGCTTCCAGCACTTATATGGGAGATCCTATTGGCGAAGCCAACTAGCTCCACGCAGTGACGCCCGGCGAGGCCCTCGGAGAGCCATCCTGGGAAGGCCTGCGCAGGCCACAAGATCTCATGCCCGTCTCCGTCCCATTCCGTTCATCAGATCAGATCGCGCAATCCACCCTTACTAGCACATTATCGATATCGAAACGTTGACAATCACTCAAATTGCCCCATCTCAGCGTTCATTCAGGATGTTGGCAACACGTAGTCGTCAGATATGCTCTCGCGGGATCTCGATGTGCTCTCTCAGGAATCCTTTACTTGTTCCCAACGTCTTCTACAGCTCATATCAACGTCGACTCTTCAACCCTTCATTCAAACCTACCCTTCCAGAAAGGTCGTGGGACAGCCATATCCATATTATCGACCCCGAGAAGTATCCGCTCCCCAAAAGTGTCAAGCCTCCCCAAGAAGCGACAATGGGCCAAGCACTTGCCAACGCTGAACAGCTTGGATTGCCGAACATGGTGTTTGTCCAGTTATCTACATACGGCAACGATAATACCTGGGTTTTAGATGCTCTAAGAGAAGTCGGGCCTGCTAGAGGTCGTGGTGTCGTTGCATTCGATTCGGAACATGTCGATTCTCAGACTCTTCAACAATGGCATGATCTTGGTGTTCGAGGCGTCCGACTCAACCTTAAATCGGCTAAAACTGTCTTATCGAAAACCGAAATCCAGACCGTACTACGCAAGTACGCCGAAAAACTGCGGCCGATGAAGACGTGGTCGATCGGGTTGTACGCTGACATGGAGGTACTTGATCACGTTCAACCATTGGTGTCCGAACTCCAGGTGAAGTTCGTGCTTGAGCACTTCGCTTCTCCAGCAAGCTTGCCATTGGACCCGGCCCAGCAGCCAGGTTGGGATGCTCTGAACAGCATGATGGAAGACCCCCGCGTTTACGTGAAAATTTCCGCACCGTATCTGTATTATATTTAAATTAATTATTTTTTTTTATTAAAAAAGTTT